TCCACCTCACAGGTGTGGCATATCAAGATGCTGATTAGACAGCATGATTATTGCACAGGTGTGCCTTAGGCCCCGTTCACACTGCCAGCGACACACAGCAACATGCTCCCATTCATTTTCAATGGAGAGCTGGCGTGTAATGGTCAGCACCTCTCTCCGACTCATTCGTGTCTGCTTCATCCCCTGTCATGTCTGTTTCTGTGTTACAGGGGGAGCCGGTTGACCTGGCAAATGTTCCGGCAGCTTACCATGACTTGAGAGCGGTGTTCAGTAAGTCCCGAGCTTCATCCCTTCCTCCGCACCGCCCGTATGATTGTGCGATAGATTTATTACCTGGCACTTCTCCACCTAAGGGGCGCCATTATTCGCTCTCCGGTCCTGAGAGGGAGGCCATGGAGAAATACATCAATGAGTCTCTAGTAGCCAGGTTTATACGTCCTTCTTCCTCTCCGGCTGGGGTGGGGTTTTTCTTTGTGGAGAAGAAGGATGGATCGCTCCGCCCCTGCATTGATTATCGTGGGCTGAATGACATCACGGTCAAGAATAGTCATCCCTTGCCGTTGATGTCTTGTCGGTCTATAAAGCCTATAAAAAATTCACAACACTTCAGCATGTTATTCTTATTAAGTGAGGGTCATTTTTTAGGATTTTTTTAACCCATGCACCACAAAGTCTCTGAGAACCTGACTGTCACAGATCAAGCCAGAGACAACAGGTTAGTGAATGAACAGGCAGGATTATTGACAGGTTCGGAGAAGCAGATAGTAAGGGCAAATACAGGTGCGTATCCAATGCAAGGAATAGTTCAATGGTTCTTAGCTGGACGGTGATGAATAATATCTTTGCAGGTTCGTGGGAGATCCGGCACCAGGAATGGAGGAAGGAAACGTCAGAGGATCGTCGGAGTATCTAGGGGTAAGTACACACAGGTGAGTAACGTACAGGGAGTCTGGAATAGTTAATGGACGTGAACGGTAGACCGGACCGTGAGTGACTGAGTGGAGCATGCTCAAATAGGTGACTTGATTGGAGACGGCAGGTGCGGGTGATTAGACCTCAGGTGAGCGTGATCTGGTGTAAGTTGAGGCTGGTGATTGAGTGGATTCGCTGACACTGACACATTGTTCTTCTGGAGACTCCATGTAGGTTGCAGTTCTGAAAAATGTTGGCACTGGAGACTAAGGGTGCTTTCACTCCTGTAGATCGATTGCTTTGTTCCGAAATGGATTAAAATTATTACAATGTTGGAGCGACAACAGCTTTGCGGACTTATTGTTGGTTTTTTTGGTCGTTATATTAATTTATCATTTTGAGCAGGAGTCCAGGATTCGTCGGGAAAACATTGTTAAAATGCACCTACTACGAAAAAGAGCAACAAGACGGCATTATAAAATGAAAAGTCACGCTTTGATTTTGAATAGCAAAGACGTACTCACCCACAGACATCTGCTGCGCCCCAATTCGCATACTATCCATCCTAAACGTCTACTGCTTTTCACAGAACTTACATAATTACCCATCATACATTGTGATATAGCCTGGTTCGTTGGTCCGTTGGATCGGATTGCTTTCTCACTACAACCGAACCGCTCCAGAGTTCGTTTTAAATCGAGCCGAGACCACCTCGTTCATATGCCCAAACGAACCGAGCTTAGGGGGGAAACGCACCAGGTTCCAAAACAACGGGCCAGGTGTGAAAGCACCCTAAATGATTCCTGATGGTTTTACACCTAATTCTTCCCCTTAATTCTAAATTGTTTTGCAGTTAACTTATCTTTTCTTCTCCACCTGTTTTTTCTGACCATGCTGACCCAATGATCATTTTGCTGTCCAATGGTCATGCCTTAACTTTGCAAATTCTAGTATTGCATCCTTCTCATGGCCATTTTATAATTTTTGACTTTCAGTCTGAGTTAAATATCTTTTTTAGTTCATTTTATCTGTAACAGAAAACCTGCCTAATAATTATGCACACTTCAATATAAGGAGTTTTTCACTTACAACCTTCATGAACAATTATATATAAATTATAAATGATTAAATACAAGATTAATAGTAGTTATTAAGATTGATGTGGTTTGAAATTTGTTAAAATGTGCTTGGAGAAAAATATGATCAGAATATCAACTTGCCTAATAATTATGCACGCACTGTATGCACTATGGAAACACCTCCAGCATGAGCAGCTGAGTTGACTTGCACTGAGATTGGAAACTCTTGAGTTATCGGTTTCAGAACAGCTGAACAGAGTTAGTTCAATCCAGTCTGAGTAGGTTGACTCTGAGATCTACAGGATCCCGTGAAAAAAGACATGCCATTTTTGTCACATTTACAGTGTCTGCATGATGAAAATGAAAGTGGTGCGGTGAGAAAAATAATCTTGTTTCCATTTGCATTAAGATTATTTTTCAAAATAAAATTCAAAATGGCCTGAAAACGTGATGACCGTGTCAGTTTTTAGTGAGCATTCAGCTTGATGAAATGAAAGATGTATCTTAGTGTCTGATAGTTTTTTACAGAGCTTTTATGATGACGACTAAAAATAGTTGACTATTAAAAAGAACAGCTGAATATCAGTTCACAATAAGGTGTCATTTGTTGACATTAGTTAATGTGTTAACTTACAAACAATTAACATTTGTTACAGTATTTATTCATCTTTTTTAATGTTAGTTAATAAAAATACAGTTGTTCATTGTTAGTTCATGTTAGTTCACAGTGCATTAACTAATGTTAACAAACAAAAATTTAGATTTTAATAAATAATTAGAAAATGTTGAAAATTAATATGAACTAAGATTAATAAATGCTGTAGAAGGTTGTTCATTCTTAGTTCATGTTAACTAAGGTAGTTAACTAATGGTAACTAATGAAACCTTGTTGTAAAGTGTTACCGAAATATTATTAAAATTGTTACTGACTTTAGTTATTTTGGAATAAATGTAAAAATGCATAAAAACACTATGAAATGTATAATTAGTAATTGTAATAAAGTTCGTAGCTCGGGAAGAAGGAGGCGGGAACCGGTGAACATTTAAACACTTTAATAAAATAAACACAAAATGAAAGTAAAGCGGCAGTTGTCCGTACACAAAACACAAAATAAAGTCCAGGGCTGGTCCTCTCTCGTCTTTCACTGTCGTCGCTCCTCCTTTTATCCTCCATGGGACTCAAGACCGGTGAGTGGTGCAGGTGTCGCGCATTATCATTCACTCCACCAGCCTCGCTCTGTTCCCACAGCTCTCGGCCCCGCCCCACTCATCACAGTAATAAAATTATTAGATAAAATACAAAATAGAATTATAATCGTTGTCTCTTTTTATATAATGTTTATTTAACCAGGAAAATGTGACAACATTAAGTGTAACAGAGACATGAATATATATTCTATAGTACATTTTTTACAATGCTAACATTATTATAGTAAGACCATGTTAAAACCATTCAATTCCCAGAGCTGTTTACTCGGAGGGCTGTTGTCCTCTATCATTTGGGTTGGTCTCAGCCATTGATATTTACTGATTTGAAACCTAATGATTTGCCATTTTGTCTGTTGTTTTCTTAATTTCTCCCATCATGCACTCTAACAGACTGATTTGTCGCTGTACATCAGTGAGCTTCTGAAGGATATCTGTACTAACCCTAGCCAAAATGTCTGTGATGTCTCCAGTCAAATGCACAGTTTTAGAAATCTGCACAGCCAATCCACCAACGTCATATATCTGTAGGAAGTGGACTAACTCACAGGCAGAGGTAAAATATTTACTTAAGTAACTGACATTGTGCTCAGGGTTACTAAGGTCCCTGAGTATTTCCTTAATACGCTGACTAATATCTTTTATCTTTTCAGCCATAGGGATGATTTTATTCTGAAATGCTCTCAATTCAGCTTCAACCTCTTTTCTTAACTGTGCCTCCTGGTTCGTTTTCTTCTTATTCCAGACTACACTACCAATCATACCACCTGTAGCCACCGCTGCTCCTGCTCCAGAGATAATAAGAGCAGAAATCCCCAGTGTAAATGGAGCGAAAGCTAGCCCCACAGCCATTGCGGTACGTCCAGCTGCTTCTGCTATTGCTCCATCTCTAGAGCCTTTATCAGCACTTCTGTTATTGTCAAGAAATGTTCCGATGATACAACGTAGATTCTCTATGCACTGCTGGAGTTGAGGGTAATCACTGTCTAAGAGTTTAATCAGTTCCTTTTCAAGATGATTAAAAGCAGATCTAGAAAAACAACAACAAAAATATTTGTTTAGAATTTTGGTCACACTTTATTTTGAAGCACTATCTATCAAATAAGAGTTTTGCCTCAGTAAACTAATTTGCTGCCTATTACATCTTTTTCAATTGCTAACAGGCATTGTTCAATACTGAAGCCACATTTTCAAAACTCTTCACACGTTCAGTGATACAGAAGTCTATGCTAAACAAACTGAATAATTTTTCAATGCGTTCAGACAAAATGCATTCAATGACCACATCTCTCAAAATTTACACATGCTTTTGTCATTCATACTCCACAACATGCAAAACACTGTATTTTCTGCACATTTTTCAAATGCTAGCACACAGTGGTGTGAAGTAACGAATTACAAATACTTGCGTTACTGTAATTAAGTAGTTTAATCAGAAATTGTACTTTTTTTGAGTAGTTTAAAAATTGTGTATTTTTACTTTAGTACATTTTAAGTGATGCATCTGTACTTTTACGCTGCTGTTTTCCCTCCGTTAGTGGTCGTTACATGCTTGTTTTAACTTTCTCTCTATCCAATCACGTTGATGGATAAAAATAGAGTAATCTGTCTCCTGACTTTCGTCAAAAAGGTTTTTTTTTTTTATGCATTGAAAATTTTCCACAAATGGCTACTGGAAGTGCATTCTCCAAGCATCAATTCAGTTGAGTTATCAGCATCTTCCTCTAATAAGTTAAGGTAAATTTCGGTGTTCTGCTTACTAAATCATCTGTATGTTTGCCTGCATAGGGCCTGAAATTTTGTGTGAGGTTGCGGGCATTGCGTACAGTGTTAATAAGTCCCCAGTGGCGTAGCGGAAGGGCACGCACCGCGGGGGGTGGGGGGTGTCGTATCATGTGTCAACGAAAGGCAGAGATCATTAGTCTAGTCTAGGCCCTATCCCGGCCTTTGTCCAACAGCTTATCAGAATTCTCGGCCCGAGTCCGACCCGAGCCCGTCTTTTTTCCCCCTTCTGCCAAAACAGCTTATAAAACAAATACTCTTTCATTATAAAATCCCTAAAGATGCATTTCTCTCTAAAGGCGCGTTCCATGAGGAGATGGCGAGTCGGGATCATCAACTTCATCTTTGCGATACTGACTCAGGAAACACTAGTTTCCTCTTCCAGCTGCACTGAAGGCGAGCTCCCTGCTGCTGCTGCTGCTGCTGACGGGACACTAAACACGTCCGAGCTGTTCTTAACAGTCGCGGTAGCCTGGTCTCTTGTTGTTTCCACCAGCGTGGTAATTTTTTTTTCATCTCCATAATTGATGGATGTCGAAAATATAAAAATAAGGAGTAGCCTAAAACAGGCCCGATGCCCGGCCCTAGGGGCTTAAATAAGTTGGGGCCCATCGGGCCCGGGCTGAAATGCAGGAGATATCGTCAAAAGCATCAAATATTGCCAATATTAAGAGGATTTAGCATTTCCAATTAGGCCTATACATTCTTATTATTATGCCTATTATTATTATTAGATTACTTTTATCATTAAATTACAGGATGAGGATAATATTAGGCTATTAGCTTACTCCTCATTGAAAAGGTTTTAAAAAAGGTTTTTCTAAAACAGGTCTATTAATTTATTCAGTGAATTATAGGCCTATAAGAGCAGCTTTATTTCATGCACCGATTTTCAAAAACAACCTGTTTAACGCTAAATGCGTTTCTTCTCGTGTTTTTCCACTATACAGGTCACAAGAGAAATATTAAGAGAATAATTTAAGACAGATATATAGGCTACTGATATCAGTATATATTGAAGTAGATTAGTCTCTCGTCTTCTCTGAGAGAATATGCGCCGTTAATGCAGCATTAGAAATCTCTCAGGTTTTTTACTTTCACCTTCTGTAGGCTATAGTGACTCGACTGAGGTTAAGACGTTCACCTGGCATAATATTGCGCAACGTTTGCATGTTGCTTGTGTGATATCCATTGGCTCGCCTTCATGGTTTAAAACAGAAATATATATATATATATATATTTTTTTTATATTTCTTTTTTATTTATAGAAATTTTAACAAAATTATATTATAGTTAAAAACATTAGAATTGAGAACGCTTGCTGTGTTATGAACTACCATATGCTCTCGTGACAGGATCTCAAATTAAGCGCAATTTTCTGCTTTTCAGCTTGAAACAACACAATGGTGAACGTATAGCTCTATGAAAATAAGCAACTTGACCAAAATTTGGCTTTGTCATTTGTATTTATTATTTATTACAGGTTCATAATTTCCAATCCACTTGAACTTGTAAATGCTCACTCTGTGAATAATGTTTGAAAACAGTTTGGAAATGTAATGTGGTCACTCTCTTTTATTTATCCGTAATGCTTTAACATTAATAAATTAGGCAAAATGATGATTATGTATTGATTAAATACATCAGTGGTTCTCAATTCCAGTCCTCACCTACCCTCGCTCTGCATCTTTTGCACATCTCTCATCTAACACACCTGATTCAGATAACCAGCTCATTAGAAGAGATCCATGCATGAACTGTGTTCTGAGTCTAGTCTAGGCCCTATCCCGGCCTTTGTCCAACAGCTTATCAGAATTCTCGGCCCGAGTCCGACCCGAGCCCGTCTTTTTTCCCCCTTCTGCCAAAACAGCTTATAAAACAAATACTCTTTCATTATAAAATCCCTAAAGATGCATTTCTCTCTAAAGGCGCGTTCCATGAGGAGATGGCGAGTCGGGATCATCAACTTCATCTTTGCGATACTGACTCAGGAAACACTAGTTTCCTCTTCCAGCTGCACTGAAGGCGAGCTCCCTGCTGCTGCTGCTGCTGCTGACGGGACACTAAACACGTCCGAGCTGTTCTTAACAGTCGCGGTAGCCTGGTCTCTTGTTGTTTCCACCAGCGTGGTAATTTTTTTTTCATCTCCATAATTGATGGATGTCGAAAATATAAAAATAAGGAGTAGCCTAAAACAGGCCCGATGCCCGGCCCTAGGGGCTTAAATAAGTTGGGGCCCATCGGGCCCGGGCTGAAATGCAGGAGATATCGTCAAAAGCATCAAATATTGCCAATATTAAGAGGATTTAGCATTTCCAATTAGGCCTATACATTCTTATTATTATGCCTATTATTATTATTAGATTACTTTTATCATTAAATTACAGGATGAGGATAATATTAGGCTATTAGCTTACTCCTCATTGAAAAGGTTTTAAAAAAGGTTTTTCTAAAACAGGTCTATTAATTTATTCAGTGAATTATAGGCCTATAAGAGCAGCTTTATTTCATGCACCGATTTTCAAAAACAACCTGTTTAACGCTAAATGCGTTTCTTCTCGTGTTTTTCCACTATACAGGTCACAAGAGAAATATTAAGAGAATAATTTAAGACAGATATATAGGCTACTGATATCAGTATATATTGAAGTAGATTAGTCTCTCGTCTTCTCTGAGAGAATATGCGCCGTTAATGCAGCATTAGAAATCTCTCAGGTTTTTTACTTTCACCTTCTGTAGGCTATAGTGACTCGACTGAGGTTAAGACGTTCACCTGGCATAATATTGCGCAACGTTTGCATGTTGCTTGTGTGATATCCATTGGCTCGCCTTCATGGTTTAAAACAGAAATATATATATATATATATATTTTTTTTATATTTCTTTTTTATTTATAGAAATTTTAACAAAATTATATTATAGTTAAAAACATTAGAATTGAGAACGCTTGCTGTGTTATGAACTACCATATGCTCTCGTGACAGGATCTCAAATTAAGCGCAATTTTCTGCTTTTCAGCTTGAAACAACACAATGGTGAACGTATAGCTCTATGAAAATAAGCAACTTGACCAAAATTTGGCTTTGTCATTTGTATTTATTATTTATTACAGGTTCATAATTTCCAATCCACTTGAACTTGTAAATGCTCACTCTGTGAATAATGTTTGAAAACAGTTTGGAAATGTAATGTGGTCACTCTCTTTTATTTATCCGTAATGCTTTAACATTAATAAATTAGGCAAAATGATGATTATGTATTGATTAAATACATCAGTGGTTCTCAATTCCAGTCCTCACCTACCCTCGCTCTGCATCTTTTGCACATCTCTCATCTAACACACCTGATTCAGATAACCAGCTCATTAGAAGAGATCCATGCATGAACTGTGTTCTGATTGACATGTTCCCTACACAGTGTTCATTGCTCTCTACTTCCTGAGCACAGGAAATCCCATCGAAGTTTACTTCACTTCGGAATATTAATTCATGAATTTGCGCAACGCCACGGCCTGCAGTGTCTTCACACACAGACAAAACTTACCAGACAAGTGTTAAGTGTGACATAATATACCTCTGTAAACAAATACAATTTAAATTCACGTCTCGCACACTTCAATGCCATTTGAATGGAACATATACGCTCGCTTCGAACTGGAATCGTGGCAGAATATTCTGTGATGTCCACTTCGCAGGGCACTTACGGTCAAATAGAACAAATGTCTGAAGTGACAAGGGATACACACAAAATGTGCAGAGCGGTGGGTCGCTTACAACTTTCAACTGACTGAGATCAAGCTATAGTGTTTATTTTATCTGGCAGATATATCAGTGCCACCTAAAACTGCAAAAGAGAAATCGATTTAGTTCTGTGTGTGGTACGATAAAAGGCGGCCGTATGATTTCTGTGAGTGTGTATCATGTTGTGTATGTGTAGTGTCCTAGCCACAAGACTGAGCACTGAAATGAACCCAAGGGATTAAAATATTAGTCCATTTATTCTAAGCAAGTGCAAGCAGCTCTTAAAAATATTAACTAGTGCTGGGAAACGATTAAAAATTTTAATCGCGATTAATTACATGATTTTGATCAATTCAATAATGAATTCAAAAGTAGTGTATTGCGCACTTTTGTTCATTTAAAAGTACTGCTATATGAACAAAAATGCAATAACATTTGGTTTGCAAACACTTTAAACAAATAAGGTGCTTTTTTACAGCAGTATTGCTTTTACATAGTAGCAGTTAAA